AATTCACGGAGCCACTTGCCATCATGAAAATGCGGGAGTGGCGGTTTCAGCGTGCGGAGACCGAAAAAGCAATAGTGTTTTTCAGGCAGTTAGTCACTTTTTTGGCCTCCGCTCAAATCAGGGAGGAAAGCGGTTTCGGGCACCAGCGCTGCAATCCCTTCCCTGAATCCAAAAATGGGACGTACAGCTGGCACTGCCACCTGAAAATGTTTTCCTCCCTGGTTCCCCGATGCACATCGCAGAGCCGCACAACTCCCTCCTTCTTCTCCTCTGCAGATTCATCTCTTTCCTCTTGGGCCAGGAGCAGAAACCGACTGCCCTCCACCTGGGTCACAACGACAACACCGTGACCACCAAGACAACCAGCAAGCGACGTAACCACAACACTTAAAACAGAACTGCTAGCAGACCCCTGGTTCTGAAACAACCAACAAATCTTGACAAAAAGAGATGACCTCACATGGAAGAGGACGAAACTGTACGTTCTGGAATCCCTATGCACCCTAATTCTCCAGAGGTGCCATGACACCAAACCGGCAGGCCACTTTGGATTCCTAAAGACTTTACACTTAGCCCAGTTCTGGTTGCCCGGCATAAAGAAAGATGTGGACAGTTATGTGAAAAGTTGTATCACCTGCGCCACAATGAAGAGATGATCGGGAAAACACCCTGGACTGCTGCAACCAGTAGGAGAGCCAACGAGGCTGTGGGAGGATATCTCAAAGGACTTTATAGTAGAGTTGCTGAGAAGTGGGGGAAACACGGTGATTTGAACTGTAATAGACATGTTCTCCAAACAGGTAAACTTCATACCCTGCAGCTACCCTCAGCTCACAAGCTGGCCAAACTGTTCCTGTAGCATATCTATCGCCTTCCTGGTGTACCTCAAAGAATTACCTCAGACAGAGGGGTCCGGCTTACATCTAAGTTCTGGAGGGAGTTCCTGCAGTCTATTGGGTCATCCCAGGGCCTTAGCTCAGCTTTTCACCCGAGCTCCATGGGCGGAGTCAGAGAGACTGAATGCTATGGTAGAGCAGTACCTGAGGTGCTACATGAACTTTCAGCAGTCCAATTGGGCAGACCTTCTGTCTTTTGCTGAGGTTGCATACAATAATGCTGTTCACAGTAGCACAGGACTAACACCATACAAAGTAGTGAGTGGCATGGACTTCGTTCCAATGCCTGAGTATCCAAGGGATCCCCCCTCCTCAGTCAACTTGACTGATTGGATGTCAATGCTAAAGGCAACCTGGGAAAATGTCAAAAAAGGGCTGGCTAAAGCGGCACAAACCTATAAGAAACAGGCAGATAAATACCGAGCTCCGCAATGACCATTCTTGGTGGGAGAAAAGGTTTACCAAACAAGTCTGAGGGGAGGACGTAGCCTTAAATCCTATACTCAAATTGTTTTTGCTTCGCACAGGTTGCTTTTGGAAAGTGAGGGAAGCTGAATGTCAACTCTCAGTGTTGTCATGGGGACAGAATGAGGGGAAGTGCATTCCATGCATACTGTCAGCTGGAGTCGGATCTCAGATTACTGCAGCCGGTTTGGGAGGGATGCATCTTATAGGGTAACGTGATTTATGACACAAACTGAGGGGAGGGAGCAGGGGTAAAGTTCAGAGATAAATCAAACAGTATAGGCTTGACTGCGAAGAGATCTTGCCTAATGGTACCCCTAATAAATGACTGGTTTTGTATTGAAAACTTGACTTGATACTTATGAATCAATTAGGGCATTTTTAGGAAATCTGATAGCAGCTATGTGTGTTCAAGAAAGTATTCATTCTTGTTAATGAGGCATAGTTGAAAGTGGCACGATATAACAATATATTGGACACATTGCCTATTTCTCGGGCCCGCTAGGAAGGGAAGTAGAGGCTTTTTCACATGGGGTGGCCAGCAGCAACATTGGAGGCGTTGGGAAGCTTTGAAATTGCTGCGCTTTCCCTTCGGCCTGCCACAACCTCAAGAAAGGCATTTCGACGCCTGGAGTCCTCTGTCCGAGAACTCAATCATGCTCCGGGCATTTCGGCACATATTTGGCTGCAGAAGGACTGCGTGGATGGTCTGCGCAGGGATTATTCCTCCTCTGCAGGTGGTGAGTGCAATACCCCACTGACTTCAGAGCCTTCAGCTGTATTGAGCTTGGCCTCGTGGGTTTAGGCCTTTCCATTTTTAAATTAGTGCAGGCATGTAGAAGCTACCAGTCCTAGCCAGATTCAAAATGGCGGATCACCACAGTAGAGAGGTCTCTGAAGCTGGTTCCTCCAGCAATCGCCCCAGTGGAGCTAAGACCAGAAGTACCTCCAAGGCAATGAGATCTCAAGAGTTCTTCCACAAGGGACCACTCAGCCCCCGATAGGGATGCTCAACACCACTTGAAGGCGTTGGAGAAGTAATTTGCCAAGGCCCAACAAACCAATATGGCGGCAATAGAGGAAAGGGAGGTTCCCATTCCTTCATAGCCAGCATTCCTCCTCACTCCTCTCCCCAGTCAAGACAGGAAGAGAGACAGGATTGGTATCTGGAGGGTCCCTCTGATTTTCAACTTCTTCAGGCTGCCTGTTTTGAGGAGGATTTCACCCCCTTCAACTGCTTAGCATCAGTAGGGGCAGTTTCTGCAGGCAGAGCCCGAGAGTCAACTCCAAAAGCAACCTTTACTCCCTCTGCAGCGGAATCAGAGGAAGGTTGGGCGCGATTGCACGCCAGAACATTGCAATGGTTCGTGTTACTGCATCAGAGATCTGGCAGAAGCAGCTCCAACTCCCCAGTTCGAGTACCGCAACAGGTCATCCACTCCCTCCTCTGGTGGACCTCTCCGGCCTTGGAGATAGGATGTCTTTTCATGGAGCCCTAGCGAGTGTCCATAACATCAGATGCCAGCCTCTTTGGCTGGGGCAACTACAGTCAGTCCTGCATGATTCAGGGAAAGTGGTCCCAGGAGGAGTTGGAGAACAATATCTGTGTGGGGACAAAATGGCAGCCACATTTGGCTTGCTGCAGTGCAGCCCGAGGACACATGGTCTGCCTTTCTTCCATAACTTGGTATTTGTATTTGGTTTATTTGTATGCCGCCCTTCTCCAGGAGGGACTGAGAGCTTGCAGAAAGTAAATGTGGGGCAATGGTGAGTGGGGAGGAGGCCCAAACACTACAGGCATTTGGTGGGGTGGGGTGCTGCAGTGACTTTATGGTAGGTCATAAGGATGAAGGATTGCAGGCCTGCATCATAATTTTGAAATTGGGTTATAATTAGCTTTCAAGGGGTTGATTGTAATATAGAACATTCATTAAATGGCCTTTCGTACCTCAAGGATTACCTGTGCTGAGAAAATAGGCTTGTTGCTGTAACCATATAATATTAGCGGTCCCTCCTTCCTTTGCAGTATCTAAGGAAGAGGATATAACATGGGGAGAAATTTAGCACTTCACTCCTATATGGACATATGCTGAAGATCTCCTCTACAAATTTATGATAGTTAAACTTAAAAGAAATAGCTACAACTGATACTAATAGATTTTTTTGAAAAAACAATGTCAGTATGAGAAAATTGTGAATTGCAGCATAAGAGTTGAAAAAGATTAACTATCCTTTCTCTGACAGTACTTCCCTGGTCCTAAGTTACTAAAGCTTCAGAAAAAAGTAATTTTTTTTGGCATTAATACAAGTGAAACTTGAAAAATTAGAATATCGTGCAAAGGTTCATTTATTTCAGTAATGCAACTTAAAAGGTGAAATTAATATATGAGACAGACTCATTACATGCAAAGCAAGATAGTTCAATCCGTGATTTGTCATAATTGTGATGATTATGGCTTACAGCTCATGAAAACCCCAAATCCACAATCTCAGAAAATTAAAATATTGTGAAAAGATGCAATATTCTAGGTTCAAAGTGTCCCACTCTAATCAGCAAATTAAGCCATAACACCTGCAAAGGGTTCCTGAGCCTTTAAATGGTCTCTCAGTCTGGTTCAGTAGGAATCACAATCATGGGAAAGACTGCTGACCTGACAGTTGTGCAGAAAACCATCATTGACACCCTCCATAAGGAGGAAAAGCCTCAAAAGGTATTGCAAAAGAAGTTGGATGTTCCCAAAGTGCTGTATCAAAGCACATTAATAGAATGTTATGTGGAAAGGAAAAGTGTGGAAGAAAAAGATGCACAAGCAGCAGGGATGACCGCAGCCTGGAGAAGATTGTCAGGAAAGGCCATTCAAAAGTGTTGGGGACTTTCACAAGGAGTAGACTGAGGCCTCTTGTCAAGCCGCTCCTGAACAACAAACAACGGCAGAAGCGTCTTACCTCCCACCAACGTGCCAGAACCCCCTGCAGCGACATCTGATCCTCTGCCAGAGGTGGTTCCACAGAGGGAGGGCGTAAGGCCAGTAAGAAGACCAAGCATCAAAACGCTTCTCCCCAAGGCAAAAAAGCCTCCAAGCCTGCCTCTAAATTTGAGCGCTGCAAGCACAAGGCTTTAGAGTGCATTTACAAGGCCAGTGGCAAGACAGATTCTTCTGCTCCAGTCCTTGAAAAGGGACTTTCTCTGGGCCATGTGCCTGTCTTAGCTCCACAGGGGGGAGTAACAGAAGGGGACCCCTCTCTCAACTTGCGGATCCCTATTGACACCATGTGCCTTTGGGGTTCCAATCAGGGTTGGCAGTCACCCCCATGCCCTGCACCAACTGTGCCTCGCCCAGCCATAGATACAGTTAACCTTCCCACTCCCTCTTCATCTGTAGGGATACGTCCTAACCAGATGTCCACCATGGGTGTTCCCAATTTTCAGGACGATGTTTAAAGCCTTCCAACAGTGTATGGTGGCTGCCTTTCAGCAACCACAGCTTCAATCCCATAGAGGGGTCACACCTACAGCCCCAGAGGTAGTGTAAATTCTGGAAGAGCACCCCCCAGTCTCCTGCCCAATCGCAGGAGGATCTAGAATCTGATTCAGAGGAGGGTGAAAAGAGAGAGGAAAACCCGTCTGAGGATGAAGGCATGCCCCCTTCCAAACCCACTTTTTCTGGCCTGTTCCAACCGTCATTGTTTAAGTCCTTACTATTCAAAGCTAAGGTCTTGGGCAAATTTGGAGGCAAACCTTCAGAATCATTGGTGCAGCCTCAGGCAATATCTTCTGAGACAATATTTGCAGACCAGGCCATTGAGGCGGACATGGTGCCCACCCCTAAGACCTTCCTTGACTTGGTCAAGCCACAGTGGGAATTTCCCACCTCGGGGCCTATACCTACTTCAAATGATAAAACATTCTTCAATGTGGACAAGGACATGGCCCAGGTGCTGTTGCAACCTACTATTAATGCACCTGTCACGGCCTTGCATACCACTGCAAATATGCCTGGAGCACCGGAGGATGCCTTGAAACCAGAGGACAAGAAGGTTGACCTCACCCTGCAAAGGGGTCATCAGGCGGCGGCCTGGGCAGTGAGAGCGGCCACGACCATCTCCTTTGCTTTGGTTGCAGAATTTCCAGCAGCGAACCCCGATTGCAGATGTCAGGTCCCACCAGGACATCAATAAGTTGGTGACAGCCATCCAATTCTCATCAGATGCCAGTTTGGCTGCAGCCAGGTTTGCCTCCAGTGCACTTGCTTCTTCTGTAGCATCTCGCAGGTTGCTCTGGCTGTGGCAGTGGCAAGCAGACGTACGCCATAAGTGGCGTCTGACGTCAGCGCCTTTTACAGGGGGTTCACGTTTTTGGTTCTGCTCTTGACCCCTTGATCGAAAATAAGGACAAGTGGAAGGTGCTTCCCACCACTCCAAGAAAGGGCATTTTCCGACCTGTGCCTTACCCCTGACGTTCTACCTTCCGTGGTCAAGACTACGGGTCCTTTAGGGGGTCTGATTTCGGGTATTCAGGTTTCAGGCAGTACCAGGGGGGCTACGCCCCTAGACAAAAATACGAGCCAAATCGACAGAGGGGCAGGCAGCAAAAGCGTCCCTTTCCAGGGGGCAGAGGAGGCAGCAACGGGTCTTCCTACCGTAGAAACTAGACATAGGCCCAGCTCTCCCCCCATCGGGGGACGCCTGGCGTATTTTGCCGATCATTGGGACTTATCTTCCTCCGATGCATGGGCTCAGTCCACCATTAGATCAGGACTTTCCATCAAATTCCTCTCCAGCCCCCCGAGCTTTTTCCGGATCTGTCCGGTCTCAAATAACCCGACCTGGAGGCAACTTATGCAGGAGACCATTCAACACCTATTGGACATTAGGGCTATCCATCTGGTGCCTCCAGCTCAAAAGGGTCAGAGTTATTACTCCATTTTTTTTGTGATCCCAAAAGCCTCAGGTGGCCGGAGAGCTATTCTTGATCTGAAGCGTCTGAACAGCTTTGTGGTTATCGGAGGTTCAAAATGCACTTGCTGCATTCCATTCTAGAGGGTATAAGGCAGGGGAACTTCCTCTCCTCCATAGACCTTACAGAGGCCTACCTGCATATACCCATAGCTCCTGAACAAAGGCAGTATCTGAGGTTTTGTTACCTAGGGCACCATTTCCAATACCGGGCCTTATCCTTCGGTTTGTCATCTGCACCTCAAGTGTTCACGAAGGTGATGGCAGCATTGGCAGAGTACCTGAGGCAAGTACCTGTATGAATCCAATGTTATTTGGATGACCTTCTTTTGCAATCATCTTCTGTTAATGGTGCCCTAAGAGACTTAGACATTACCATGTCAATCCTGAGAGACCATGGTTTCTCTGTTAATCTGGCCAAAAGCCATCTGCACCCTACCACAAGGCTAGGCCACCTTGGGGCTGTAATAGATACATTGTCAGGCACAGTTTTTCTGTCATCTGAGAGGCAGCAAAACCTCAGGGAGTTGGCTTCCCAGGTCATCAGGGAGCGAAGGGTGTCCCTAGCTACATTGTCCAGGTTGTTAGGCACCATGGTGTCAGCCATTGGCATTGTCCCTTGGGCAGCTTTCACACCAGAGCCCTTCAATGGTTCTTTTACCATTTCAGCAAAGGCTCATGAACTGCTCCCAGATCAAGGTCCTGCTACCTGCAGAAGTATTCCGAACTTTGCTTTGGTGGAGGTCCCCAGCTATCGCCAAGGGGGAATACTTCAGGACTCCAGACTGTGTGACGGTCACTACAGATACCAGTCTATTTGGATCTACAGGCACAGATGGCACAGGGACAATGGAGCCAGGCAGAACTAGCTCACAACATAAACTGGTTGGAACTCAGGGCAGTCCGCCTGGCTCTCAAACAGTTTCGCCAATTTGTCAGTGGCAGAAATGTTCTGGTCCTCACGGACAACATAGCCACCAAGGCTCATATAAACAGACAGGGGGGGACCAGGTCAAAGTCCCTCATGCTGGAGGCCAAGACACTGGGGCTTTGGGCCACGAGGAACTTGCTATCGATAACTGCGGAGCATATAGCAGGGGTGGACAATGTCAGGGCCGACTGGCTCAGATGGACCGAGGTGGACAATTCGGAGTGGCAGCTGCAGCCAGCAGTCTTGCGGGCGATTGTGGACCTTTTTTGGCCACCTGGAAGTCGATCTGTTTGCCACCCCTCTCAACGCTCAGCTCCCAAGGTTTTATTCCCGGTTCCCATCGCAGAACGTGGAGGGGGTGGACGCTTTGCTGCAGATGGCCCCGGGGTCTCCTTTATGCCTTCCCACCTTTGCCCTTGATTCCCAGGGTAATACAAAATATCTTGCGGGAGGGGGCGGAGGTGGTGATGATTGCCCCACATTGGCCCAGGTGACCTTGGTTCGCCGACCTCCGATCTCTCTCTGTGGACAGACCGTGGAAGATCCCTCAAGAAATGATTTCGGTCAGCCAGGGGTCGCTGGAGCATCCGGACCCTCAGTGGCTCCAATTGACCGCCTGGCACTTGAGCAGAGCGTCCTGAGGGAGGACAAATATTCCTCCAGGGTCATACAGACTATTCAGGCTGCACGTAGACCATCCACGGAGCGCATCTACAGTTCTACATGGCACTCATTCTGCACATGTTGCACCAGTAAGAATTTTGACCTGGTACAAGCCACAGTCCCCCAGGTCTTGGACTTTCTTCAAGTGGGTCTGGATAAAGGGTTGGCTCCTAATACCATCAGGAGACAAGTATCTGCAATCTCTTCTGTGTTTCTTTGTGACAGGTCACGAACACTGACTCAGCACCCTATGGTCAGGTGGTTTATCAAGGGTGCTTCTAATCTCAAGCCACCCACGGTACATAGGTATCCTTCTTGGGATTTACACAAGCTGTTGGACGCTCTAACATGTGCCCCCTTTGAACCGCTACGGAAAGTTTCTCTCAGGTTCCTGACTCTCAAGGTGGCCTTTTTGGTGGCCATCACCTCTGCCAGGCGGGTATCTGAGCTACAGGCATTGCCTACAAGGGATGATTTATGTATATTTCACCATGACAAGGTGGTTTTAAGGCTGGACCCCTCCTTCATACCCAAGGTGTGCTCTTGCTTTCATAGATCTGAGGAATTGATTTTGCCTAATTTCTGTCCAGATTCTTCTCATCCTTTAGAGAAAAAATGGCATACCTTGGACGTGAGGAGGGCTCTGAGGAATTATCTCAAAAGGACCTTGTTGACCAGAAAGACAGAAGCATTGTTTGTTTCTTTCCAGCCAGGATCCCTGGGGAATAAGGGGACATCTACTACCATAGGCAGATAGTTGCGAGCCTGTATTGCTACTGCTTACCAAGCACAAGGGGCCCAGGTTCTGGGGTCTATCACAGCCCATTCCACGAGAAGTGCGGCTATGTCAGCAGCCTGGGCTATGCAAGCCTCTTTGACTGAGATTTGTAGAGCTGTTACATGGGCATCCCCTTCCCCGTTCATAAGGAACTATAAATTATATATATATATAACCATGACAAATTCTTGTATATATGTATATAGATCCTGTATGGACCCTCCCAAGGGATGATATGGCTTTGGTACGTCCCAGTCTGGATGCTGCTCCCTCCACTATGGAGAAAGGGCGTTGGTCCTTACCTGATACGCCTATTCTCATAGTGGGGGAGTACCATCCAGCCCCTCCCTGAGTTTGTAATGTTTTTTCTGGATCGTTCAATGCATGTTGCTACTTGTGCTTTTTGTGCAAAATAAAATGATTTTTAGTCTACAACAATTGTCTGAAGAGGATCGGACATCGAGTCCGATAGAGTCCTTTGCCGGAAGCTGGGTTAGCCTGGCAACATGGGCGTGGCTTAATTGTCTTATTGGACTCAGTCCAATCAATGAGCGGATGAAGTCAATCCAGTCTGGATGCTACTCACCCACTATGAGAAAAGGCATATCAGGTAAGGACCAACGCCCTTTTTCCAGCAGGACTTGGCACCTGCCCACACTGCCAAAAGCGCCAAAACTTGGTTCAATGACTGTGGGATTACTGTGCTTGATTGGCCAACAAACTCGCCTGACCTGAATCCCATAGAGAATCTATGGGGCATTGCCAAGAGAAAGATGAGAGACATGAGACCGAACCATGCAGAAGAGCTGAAGGCCGCTACTGAAGCATCCTGGTCTTCCATAACACCTCAGCAGTGCCACGGGCTGATAAGCTAGCAATAGCAATAGCAATAGCA